AGATATATAGCTACTTTCTCTTAGTTCAATGAGAAGAAAGCTTTGAATAGTGTTTAGACAAGATACCATGTCTGCATCCTGTACTATGAATAACTACTACAAAGACAGCAATACGCGATGTATTAATTATTGTTATTGTCCTACTAACCTGTTTTGAAACTGTCTCATTGCTACTTCTTAATCCATACATCTTAGAAGCTTGTTTTGTGCATTTGAGCTTGACCAAAAGAAAGGCAAGTGCCAGTTATGGTTTTGGGAAAGTAGCTTCGAAGAGCAGGAAGTGAAAACATGCTGAATATAAGTCGTAGAACCCCCAACAGTTGTCTAAGTGCAGTGTCTGAGTTGCAGGAGTCAGCAAAGGGCAGCCACACCGACCCTGCCAGACCTTGCTGGGCCACAGGCAAGGGCTCCTAGATAGACTGCGTCCTCCTATCCTACAGTGACTGTCCCAGCACTTCCCAGAGGACGAAAGCCACAGCCTCCCTGACTGCTCCAAATGGCCTCCTACAGAGTGCTTGGTTATTTTAAAAGACCAAAATTTAAAAATCCTGCTCTAGGAATCGGTATCGTCATCCTCTTCTTATCAATACCGAAACAGGAAACTTCAGGAGCATTTCTATCCTGAAGTAAAACATGGAGTGCGTCTACGACGCACAGTGATCGCTAGGCCGTAAGTCACAATTAACAGCCCTGTGCTGTGCCCCAACTGCCACGCCAGACGCCAGACAGGGCGAGAACCAGGGCCAGCTTCCCGGTGTCCAGCAGGTGTCTCACAGCTCAGCCGCTGACATGAAAATCCCAGGCCCACACCGGACAGCAGCCTTGAAAGGGCAGCGCCAGAGGACGAACTCGGAGCCAGGAGGAGGCGAGTGAGGGCACCGTGCAGCCAGGGTGGAATCAAGGAAGGAAGGGGTTTCATGGACGGGGACAGCCGCGGCCACAAAGAGCAAGGGCCAGCTCCGAAGCTGCTTTCCCTCTGAGGACGCTCCTGCCCATTATTCCTGAACGCCAATGCTGACTCTGGCCATGTCTGAAACAGCAACAGCTGCACAGATGCCAGCAAGCCTTGCGCCCCAACCCAAGGCGCGTATTCCACAAGAACAAACCCAGCCACCAGCACCAGGGGCGCCAAAGCAGAACAAAGCGCAGTGATGCGTGTGATGTGTGTGACTGGGCTCTGCGCTCGGGCTCATTGGCATCACTCTCCAAATGCCAGGAACCAGCGCTGCGAATCTGCCTGCGGCAGCAGGGCACAAATCAAATCAGTGCTCCGGGAGTGAGCAGGGCGTTTTTCAATTAATAAAGAAAAGTGCATTTGATAGCTTCCCCTCCAAACTCCCTTTCAGGCCACAGGAGGCTGCCTGCTGGTTTTTAAGCTCTCACAGTCAGCCAGGTAACGGAAGCCACCAAGAAATTCAAGTGTTATTCCCATGAGAAGGTGCTGATGACCAGGCCCGCCCCACCTGCTGACCCACTCCTACCCACAGAACAACCTGGAATCCGTGAAACTGTGGGATGGCTGTACTCTGAATCTGCAAAATGTAGATTATGTGGAAGTGGCCACCAAAACTCCACAGAGCCATGCAGAACCAGTGCCAAGCCCAGGGATTTACACAGTCTCCCGTGACAAAGCCACACCTACAGGCTGGCCACTGGAAGCTGCCCCATGCACAATGGGTCCCTTGTACCTGATGGAAGGCTGGACACCAGTGAAGATTTCTGCCCCTTAGGATATGTGGGAAGTGGCTGAAGCTGAAGCTCGATCACCAAGGCCACCCTTGAGAACAGCAGGTGCCCTAGGGGAGCCACGTGAACAAGCTGGAGACAAGTGTCATGTGACACCAACTCGTGTTAGGGTTTGTGTCTAGGTGCTCCCCCAAAACCTCATGTAGTCATGGGGCAGCTTCTGGAGTGTGACTGATTCATGACCCAAGGCTGGGATTATGGGTGTGAGGGCTGCACCCAGCCTGGGGCGGAAAGCCTAACTGTAACAGGAGGGAGACAGAGTTGCACTCTGTAGCTGTTGTTGCTGCTACTCCTCCCTTTCACTCTTGTTGTTTTGCTGTTTTCTGCCACCGTGAACTGCTGCCCTCTGCCATGTGCCGCTCTGCCTTGGAGCCAGCTGAGTATGGACTGAAACGACCACAAACTGTGAGCTAAATAAACCTTTCCTTCCTTCATTTTGGGTGAAGCATTTCAGCATTTAAATAAAGGAAATTCCTTCCTCCTTGACCCAGCAATGACAGAAAAGTAATGGAGACAGCCTGCCAGTGTATAATACACACACACTATAGTCCTTGGCAGTTTTCTCTCTCCCATCAGGAGAGGAGGCACCACCTGACCTCAGCTTTCTGTCTTCTGATTCTTTATTTCTTCATCCTCCACCATCTACTCGCCCCCAAGAATTCAGGAGCTGCACTACACATAGCGAGGATACAGGGATGCTCCAAGCCAGGAGGGATCCTTCATCTTCACACACCGGGGTTTCAGGGAATCACATGGAGTCACTACACAGCCCCTCTGAGTAGGAGAGAGGGTAGCATTTTGATGACTTAGCTGAGATCCCAGCTATAGGATGAGGGACTCAGAAGTGTGGAAAGGGACACCGTGCCCAGACATCCACATGGCCAGCTGCATGGACCTCTACGCCACAGAAACACAGGCCAGGAAGGGCACAGGGAAAGGCAGTGCCCCATGCACATCCAACAGGAAAAGCCCAAGGGCCCCAGTCACAAGCACGGGGAAGAAGCAACCACAGCAGCGTGGCAGGGTCTGCATAACGCCTAATGTGGCAGCCAGTCGCAGGGACACAAATAAGCCACCCACCACAAGGCTACAAAAACAGGAGCAGTTCCTGCAAAGAACAAGCAAGGAAAGTGTGGGGTCTCCAAGGGTGGAGAACCCACAGCCAGGTCTCCGTGTGGACCCAAGGAAGCCTGCAGTCAGCAGGGCAGGTCTAGGGTGGACAGGAAGAGACGGTGGCCATGTCACATCATCCTCTTTTGGGCCCCTTCAGAACATGCAAATACATTCTGGCCTTTGCAATAATCTTTTGGACATTCTGCTTATGTGACTATCAAAACAAAGATTTCCACCCTCTATTTAAATGCTGACAAGACAGAGAAGCCGCTTGGTGTTCCGAGTGTGCTCTTTTTTTATACTTTTGATTTCTCATGTAAGAGAACTGTGTGATATTTATGCTTGTTTATCCAATTTGTTTCACTAAACATTATGGACTGAAGTGTACCCACTTTCTTATGCATGACTCAAGCTTGTCCTTCTTTATAGCAGAGCAGTACTCCACAGCCTGTAAATACTATCCTTACTCACCCATCTGTCAATGGAC